CCCGCCCCCCCCCCCCCCGTGCAACGGCCGACATGCGCCGGGCTGGCCAGAGATGCCTTACTTGGCGTTGTCTCCGTGGTGATCACCGTGGTGGTGACGATGGTGGAGGTGGTGGTCCCTCGGCCCCCCCGAGAGAGGGCGCCCCCACCTGCCTCCTCCTCGGGGCTCCTGGTCTTGTTTGCGGCCTGGGGCTGGGCCGCCTCTTCCTCCGGAAGGTCAGTCCTGTGGGGCCCCTGTGCCTGTGGGGCCACGGGTGGTGCTGTGGACGGGGAGACTGGGAGCAGGGGAGGGCTGGTCACCCCGTGGCGCCCTTTCTTGCCACCCCACGAGGACCGCTTGGGGGTGGCGGGTTCCCCTTCAGGAGCCGGAGCCCCCAGGCCATCTCCCTCCAAGAGGGGCGGGTCCACCGTGGAGATGCGCGGTTTCGAATTTGGCAAGCCGAGCTGGGCAGCTGCCGGGGTGGCCCTGAGCCTCTGCTGCTTCCTGGCGGAGCTTCCCGGTTTCGGGGAGGGCGGCCTCTTCCTCGAGGCCGGGGCTTGTCTCGTGCTGGTGTCCGGGGGAGTGCTTGGCTCTGGAAAAGCAGCGTCCCTCTGAGACGAGGCTGTCTCCACGCTCGTATGAGCCAAGGCCCCCTCTGCGGGCTGCAGCGGGCTTCCCACGGCCGTGTGTCCCGACTCCGCGTCTGCGCTGAGGAGTGCGTTGTTCGAGCGTCCGTCCGAACGGAGCGCGTCCTCGAAGCGGGTGCCTGTGACGGGAGGTGGGAGAAAGAGCTGAGGGCGCTCTTTCCGCTCCCCTGCCCCCTCCCAGGGAGAAGCCGCCCCCCCTCCATGTTGACTCTTTCAGCTTCATTCCGCCTGGGGCCCTCGGATGCTTTGGGCTACAAGCCCCGTCCTCACACTGCCTGGCCCTGACAGCTATGCAGGTCCAAAACCGCTGCAGGGCGCCAGGTTGGGGAAAGCGGCTCCAGCGCTTGCAATTCAAGGCAGTCAGAGTCTTAACCCGAAGTCTGGGAGGGTCACTCCGGTCCCCGGAGCAGCGCACTGGCAAATGCTGGACACGGTGTGAAATTCAACTATTATCAGGCACCAAAAAGCAGGACTGTGCAAGCAGCTCATTATCTCTGACAAGTCGACAGTTTTCAGTGTCGCAAGGAGCCTGTTATGGCCGCAGACTCGTTTTTTTCTAGTTGCTACTGAGCAGCACAAGCGCACAAACCCACACACACAGCTTCTCTGGCTTTCCAATTGTGCTCCTCAACAACTTCCGACGCTCTCCACCCCACTTCCGTGGAGTTCGCCAACGGCGCCGTCACTCGCCTCCACCCTGACCCTCTCTGTGCGCGGCAAGGGGCCCACCGGCAGCGGAGCAAGTCCCGGCGTGAGAGCTGGGCTCGGCCAGAGGTGGGCACGGCCCGGGGACCCTCGGCTCCAGCCCTGCCCGGCACTCGCAAGCACAGCCCTGCCAGCCGACAGGCACGGTCGGTCCCCGCCTGGGGCGGCGTTCGGAGGACGCCGAATCCAAGCCCGGTTGGATCCTTGGGTCGGCTTGAAGGGGGGCTGCAGCAGGCGCGCTCCAGCGCTTTCTGCCCCCCCCCCACACCCTCCTTTGCAGAAAGAATTGCCAAAAGAGAAAGATTGATTATCCTGTTGATCCGCAGCGGCATCCTGGGAGAGGCAGGCCTAATTAGCTGACCTCCCGTCTCCTTTCGAGAAAGCAGCCGATGAGCTTTTTTGATTAGAGAGATTTGGCTCTTAATGGGACTGATAAAAGTTTTCATGTTGAAACAAATCTTGGGCAGATTAATCACTGCGTGTGAGCCAAGGAGATTAATTGGTCTGAAATACCGGTTTGTTCTTGGAGGAGGATCCCCGGGCATGCAGCAGCGCCCCACGGCGGAAGGAGCCGCCTGGGCGCCGGAGAGCAGTGCGGGCTTCTGGAAACGGGCTCCGGGTGCGTGTGGTGGGGGCGCCCCCCCCCCACTGGCCAGCCACACGGCCAGTTGGCCAGCTCAGCGGGGGAAGGCGCCCCCCCCCAGCCCCACGTGAATGCCTGCCAACTGTTTTGCAAGGAGGGGTTCCAGGAAGAGGCGCAGGAGATGCTGCCGCAACAGTTGGCGGTGGGGGAAGATCGATTTTCCCCCAGGTTTCCTCCAAACACACATACAAATGAGTAAGCGAGGGCCTGAGGCAGCGCGAACGCAGCCGGCGGGCATCTGCTGCCGCATGTTTATCGCCATCCTTCGAAAAAGAAATAAGATTCCAGTGCTGGGTTTGAAAGAAGGGGGGGACCCTGCATTGGTGCATAAATTACCCTAATACTTTCACAAATCTGGAATTTATTTGCTGCCTCTCACAGTTCGGCTATTTCACCCAAGCCAGCACATGGCCCTCGCTCTCGGCCAGCGGGACTGCGGGCAGCTCGGCACCAGGCGAGGGCTGCTCCCCGGGGCCAGACGCGGCCGCTGTTCGGCTGCTGCGCAAACGCGTTTGGACATCCCCTCTGACGGCCCAGCGCTCGCCCGTGGTGTTACGAAAGCCATTTTCATAAAGGGGGTTTCGGGAGTCGCCTCCACAGTGCAGAACCGGGAGGGGGAGAACAGGCCGCCATTGGCCAGAGAGGGGAAAGGGTCGCCATGAAGAGCATCCCGGGGAAGAGAAGGGGCCGTGCCTCCATTTTGCCTTGTTTAGCGGCTTTCTTGCAGGGCTGGGAACGCCCCGCCAACCGAGGCAGGCTGAACGGGCTGCAGCGCACGGCTCTAGCAGCTCGGAGGGGCCCGGCCTCCGGAGCCAATTTCCAAGCTGCCACCTGCGCTCCCCGCCAGAAGGCCCTCCTGCCGGGAGACGCACGGAGGAGAGACGGGCAGATCTCCGTGGTCCTCCGAGGGAGGGAGACTGAGGGAAACCACCCACTGGAAGAATTTCCGGGCTGGTTCAAAGGGACAGGAAAAGGGAGCTGGCTGCGTCTGGATGAACACCTGTATTTCAGAAGCATCCTCGCCTGTGCACCTTTCCCTGTGCACCTTTCCTGCTACCATCACCGGGGATACCAAAGCGGAGAGAAATTAATGAGTGAGCCGAACAGAAAATGTTGGCTTGCGGATGATCTCGCCCAACTGCTCTCAAGTGGGCACTGGGAGCAACGCTTCCGACCAGCCATTTTGGAAAAGCAGCTCCACCGAGGCTTGCGCTGCGTGTCCTTAATTTTTTAAGTAAATCGTTTAAATTGCTTAATCCCGTTAGTTAACACTCTCCAGGAATAATCTTGTGCACTGAATGGTAAATATTCTTTGCTGGGGACAATGCCGCACACTTTGGGTTTGCTGAGCACATGGTTTGTGCCCGGGAAAGCAGGCCCGGCCTTGCGGTGGCAGGTCCTGGCGAGCCCCTGCAGAGGGCCAAGGGGGCACCATGCCCCAACCCCTGCCTGCAGGCCTGGGGCGCCTCTGGGGCCAGCCAGGGTCTCCGACATGAGGCGGGATGGACCGAGGAGAGGAAGGCGGCTCCGTGGAAGGCATTTCCGGCATTCCGGTGGCAGCCGCTGCAGGGTGGGGACCAGGGTGGGCTTCTGCTGGGTTCTGAGTGAGCCGGACCCTCTCCTCTCTCTCCAGGCACAAGCAGGGCAAGGTGGGGCCCGGCTGGCCCAGCCGGGGCCCTGCAAGGTCCGTGAGCCTTGGCTGGAAATGGGTGGCCAGGTTTCCTGCCGCGAGGACGTCTCTGCAACCCCAAGCGTGCATGTTCCTCCAGCGCACAACGGATTCCTGCCTGCGCCACGTCCGCCCCTGCGGAGCTTCCCAGGAATTCTCCCCTCGCTGGTCGCCGCCAGAGCCGCTCCGCCCGTGGCCGGGTGTTGCTCTGATGTGGGAGCGAAGGAGCAGCAGGCGCCCAGATCGCGGGGCGCGCAACAAGCGAGCCGGCTGGGCACAGGGAAGAGCGTGGGGAGTGCGCAGCGCAGCTTTCCAGCGACAAAGGGCCCCCCGGAGCTGTACGGCCCCCTCTGCTGAGCCCACGGAGGCTTTGACGCCTCCCAAGACTGCAGGCGCCTGAATCCCCCACGCTCGAAGAAGGGGCATTACTCATGAAGGGGCCTTATCTCATTATGTTTAAGAGCCGCACCATAATCTCGTTGCGATTAATTGCACAAACAGCAGGCGGGAACGGGTGTGACAAGCAGAAAGTGCGCAGGCATGGACCAGACCGGCGGATTCCCGGCTAGGCTGCAAGCTGAAGGGCTTGCGGTATGCTTGGAGGATTGCCCGGGGGGCAGGCTGTGGCCCCCCCCCTCCACATCCTTCCCCAGCCGTGGCCGTGGGGCCACAGCCGGTGCCCTCTCGGTGCCCGGGGTCGGGATCCGAGGCAGCTTCAGGGCTCCCTCTGCTGGCCAGAGGCCGGAACAGCGGCCCGGGTAGTTGCGGGACTGGAGCCACAGCCTGCCGCAGGGCTGTTTCGCGGGGCCCCGGGCCCCCGGGAGGGCTGCACAAGCCCCGGCTCCTCCCTCCGGGAGAGGCCTCCGCCGGGAGGGTTCCCCGACTTGCGGCGCCCCGCGCGCCCCCGGGAGCTGCGCCCGCTCGGGTCCGGTCTCGCTGCAGGGCTTCTCCGCCCAGCCCAGCCTCGCTCTGGTCCTGCTCCGGCGCCGCGCCAGCCTCGCTCTGGTCCTGCTCCGGCGCCGCGCCGGCCTCGTCCCGTCCTTGCCCCCACGCGGCTCCAGTCCCCCCAGCCTTGCTCCAGCCGGAGGAAGGCATTCGCTGGAAATCCACTTTCCACGGAGATGGAGCCGCTTCTTACAGAGGTAAGGAGCTGTTAAGAGAAGTAAATGGATTCCCGGCTTCCCTTTCTCGCAGAAAATGGCTCTGCCGAGAAATGCAGGATCCCCGCTGTGTGTGGCTGAACCCCGTGATGAGGCGAGGAGAGCTCTGGGGGGAGGCGGGAGGGGCTGAAATCGGAGGCCGCCCGGGGGGCCGCCCGGGTGGGGAAGCGCATGGCCGGGGCTGCTGCCCCCCCCCATCGCCTTGGGGTGCACGGCGGGCGAAGGCCGGCTCCTTGGTCAGGTGGAGCACAAAGGCCTGTGGGCCAAGGAAGCCGCTGGCGACGGGCGGGCACGCGTTTCCTCCTCCCTCCCCGCCCCCCTTCCTGCTGGACTTGTCTGTCCAAGCGGGACCCCCCTCCTTTCCGCCCGTCCCCCTTGTTGCGCGTGCCGTTGGCTGGCACGGTTCAGCCGGCCCTGCCTCCACGTCCTGGACCGGTGCAAGGGCCGGAGACCCATGGAGCCCCAGGCCCCACCCGGGGCAGAGCGCCTGTGCCCTTCCCACCCCACCCCTCCTGGAGCTCCGTGACGCTGGCAGCACCTCCGCTGGGGCGGCGGGGGGGTTTCTGCACCGTGTCCACGTGCCGGAGGGGACGGATGCCACCTCTCTCGCGGCGCACGCACTGAGCGCTGACGGCTCCTCGCCACACACCAGCGACTGCAGTAACAGGACCCCAGACAAGCGGATGATTTATGGCCTGCCTGCACGCATGAATTAGCTGCACAAGAAATCCGGCGGGGGGGGGGGCTGGCACTGTCCAGGTGTCTCTCCTCCGCTCCCCACCACCGAGGCCTCTCCCCTGCAGAGGAACAGGAAGCGGCTGCACGTGGGCCAGCAGGAGGGTCGGGGACTAGTCCTACAAGGGAAAGGAAGGGACTGGCTGCGTTGAGTCGACCCCCTGGAAAGGAGCTGGTGGGGTGGAGGGAACCGGCACCGGGCCGATCCAGCCTGTGTCCGAGCAGCGGCCCAGCTCTGCTCTAGCACCCGGGTTCTCATTGGAAGCGGCCCTCTCCCTTACAGGAGCCTCTGCTTTGCCACTGGAGTAGAAACACCTGCGCTGCGGATCTGGTCCCCTCCTCGGGGCACCTTCCTTTGCCATAAATGCCCCTTCAGACTGGACTGTGTCAAGATTTGTGCTCCTCCGGAAAGAGGCGGCTCTTGTCATTTTCACACTAAGCTTCCACGGAGGCCACCCGCGATCGCATTGGCCTTTCTTGCAGCCACGACACACCACGGGCTCCCGCTCGCCTGTTTCACGCGTTCTCCTGCTGAGTCGCGTGTCCCCACAGCCTTCCCCGTCTTCCTCAGGGCTGCGGCCCCATTTCCTGCAGTCCCTGCTCTTGCCGGAGGGTGCCACATGCAGCCTTCTCGTGGCCTTGAGGAATAGATCTGCCTCAGCAGTGGCTCAGGGTCGGGTGGGTGCCTGAAGCAGCGTGGAGCAGCTCCCGAAAGATGGCGGGCCCTTCCGTCGGGCGCGAGCCGGAACGGCCTGCTTTTTCACAGCCAAGCACCAGCAGCATAATATGGATTTTGCATTATTATCCAATTGCCTGATTTGGTACACTTTGCTGGTTTTCAGGTGGTGAAGGGTTGTCCATGAGATGAACTGACATCTTTTTAATAGTCTCTGTCACGCTTACACAATTTGGACTTTAAATCTTGCCAGAAAGGATTCGCGTCTCTTATGAAGAAGAACTGAGTAAGGGAAAAAGCAGCCAACCCTCGGAGACCGAGGGACCGCCGGGGACGGGGCCGCATCCGGCTGCAGCCGCCGTCCCCTCGAGCGCTCTGCGTCCAATGGACGCGCGGCACCGCCGATCGGCAGTGTTTCCGCATTCTGGGCCGGCGCAGGGGGCATCGCCGCTTTGCGAGACGGCCCGAAGCCCCACACGTGCCCGGAAAACAAAAACGGGAAGCCGCAGCACGGAGACTTTGCAAGACCACGAGCGCGGCCTGCGAGAGTCGCCCGCTGCCCCTTCTCGTCACCCTCGCGCGATTCGGCCGGCTCCGAAGGGCCCTTGCGCAGTGCGCGTGATCTAGGTCAGCCCATGCTGGCCACCGACCGCTTCTGCGGCACTGGCCGCTCCTCCCACCATTGATTCGGCACGATTAATTATTTTGATAACGCCGCGGGGCGAGAGAGATGCCAAGAGCCGCCCCAGACCACCGCCCGTGCGCGCAAGTGCCTGCACATGGCACTGCCGTGACTCAGATGCTAATTTCATCCCAGCGTTTCATTCTCCCTCGCCTCCTCAGATCGTGCGGGCTTTTGTGTGATCTCAGAGTTGCCTTTGTGTGTTGGAGGGCAATATTTTGAAAAGGTGGGAAGGTCTTGTTTTGCTTCCTATTATTCTAGCTGGGCATTCTTTCCCACTTTCACTTTTGTTTTGGTTTCTTCCAGACTTTCAACCACGACATGGGGCAATGCAGTGTAGTGGTTAGAGCAGTCTTCCCCAGCTCTGTTTCCTCCAGACATGTTGGACTGCGGTTCCCAGCACTCCTAGCCAGCAGGACTTAGCCCATCAATCCCACACTACAGAGGAAGGATGGGTGTTGTAGTGCAACCTGGCCAGAGTGCACCCGGCTAGGGAAGGTGGGCTAGAGCCTGGGCCTCTCCAGCTGCTGGGACCACAAGGGGGGGCATCTGCCTGCCAAGGCCCAGCCGCTTGGCAGTCCCCGAGCAGGCGGCCCACCGGCTCCCTGGGCGATCCCAGCTGCTGCTCGGTCGGTATTCCTGGCTCATCCTCGCTCTGCCCATGCCCAAAAGCCCTGCGTGCGCTTTGACGCAGGAAATGGAGTATCTGGCAGCCTTTCTGAAGAAAAATGGAGCCGGCAGTCGCCCAGGCACTTTACGGCTCAGACCGTCCCCAGCGTGGCCACCCGTATCCGGCCCCCTGATGAAAAGGCTTCCAGAATGGACTGTGCGCAGCCATAAATACATCCCTCTCTTTTTAAAAGAAACCTGCCTTCTGCACGGCAAGGCCGATGCAACCGGTTCGTCCTTCCTCAGTCGGAGAACAGTTTTGTCACGGAACAGCTTATCGGTATGACAAACAGTCTCCCGGCGTTGCCGAAAGCACCGTGCCTGGTTCTGCGAGGGCGCCCCACGTCCAGGACTTTTCCGGACGGATGGGTTACAGGGGCAGGCGCGGTTCGCTTGACCCAGAAGTGCCTTCTGGGCCTGGCTGGCCCGAGTGGGAAGAGCAGCCCTGCCGCCTGAGCTCGCTTCGTCCCCCCGGGGGGCGTCCCCGGAGGAGGCAGCTTGGCCAGGCACACGTGGCGGCAGAGCGCTGTCTTTTCTCTCCGGAAGGCTGACAGGGGATGGGGCACCGCTCCCCGGCCCCCCAGCGCCTTCCGCCCGCCTCTCCGCCAGCACAGGCCGTCAGCCGCCGCATCTCGTCTCCCCTGCCATCAGGAGAAATGGAGCGACGCGTGTCCAGGCCTTCCAAAAGGCCCGAACTGGAACTGCTTCAGTACATTAGGAATAAGGAGCTGCTAAGGAGCCGGAGTGGCTGGGTGCTGCGGGAATTGTTTGGGAACAACTTGTGCCTGCAAGCCGGCAGGCAGGCAAGGAGGAAGAAAAGGGTGTGGAAGGAAGGGGGACGGGGGGCAGCCCCCGAGATCTGCGTGCCCCCCACCGGCAACGCTCGGCTCCGAAGGTGGCCGACCGCAGGGAGCGTCAGGCCATGATTCGGCGGGCGCGGCTGCTCTGGGAGCTCCGTGCAAGCGAGCCCCACCGGCCTCGCGGCCAAACTCGGCCAGGCACGGCCCGGGCTGGCTGCTGCCGATGGCGCGTGCACCCACCTCGCCACCCCAGTCCAAGCCTGGCTTCGCCACTTGCAAAAAGGCTCTCGTGAGCCGTTTCCGCCACTTTTCCTTTCAAGGCAACAGATGGACGCGTGAATGAGTAAAGGCACGTGCGGCGTTTTAATGTCTGGAGTTAATTTCACTTCATTTCCCAGGCAGTGCGACGCCGAAGCAAGCAGCCCGTGCGGCACGGCAGGGGGGTGCAGGGCGGGCGACTGGGTGGTCTGGCTTCCCGGCCCCCTGCGGCCGGGACGCTCACGGGTGACTCTGGGCCGTCTCAGACCCTCCACTTAGCCTACCTCACAGGGCTGTTGTTGGGAGGGTGAAAACGGAGTGGAGAACTCTGCCAGCCGCCTTGCGCCTCCGGGTTGGAGCAAAGGTGGCTCAACACAGCGGGAGCTCGAGGTTTCCGTTCGTCTGATCCTAGGATCGATGCTGCAATGGCAAGGGGTCTGTCTTTGTCCGTCCGTCCGTCCGTCCGTCCTTGATGCTACAGGCTCAAAGGGGGGAGCCACGGTGTCCGTCCTCATGCTGGTGGCCGTGGGGCAGGGGCAGGGCCACTGGGGGCCAAATGAGCTCCTGACGGCTCGAAGCCGCTGGCTCTGGAGAACTAGTGCAGAAGAGAGATTCCCCCACATTCTGGAATGGCTTGGCCAAGTTTTGAATGAGAACACGTCATGTGTACCTTTCAAATGGCATCTCTCCTCCTCCTGAATATTCTGCTTTCCTTTGCTGGCTTCCCTCTTTGTGCCCTTGATTTTGCCAGGCGCCAGCGGTGACCCCACACAGGCTGCCGCCGCGTGGTCAGGCTGAGCACCCAGAAAGGCACGCTCAGCATCTCGCAGTCTGGCTGTCAAAGCGGGTCCCCGGTGCCTGCCTGAACCGGCCTGGGGTGCCGAAAGCAGAGATCCGTGGAATGAACCTTCCGATGTCTGCTGACCGCCCCACACCCCAATCCACAAACAAGGGGTGCGTCCAGGGCCACTCTGGCTCCTCAAGGCAGCCAGCCCAGTCCCTTTCCGGAGCGGGCAGCTTGCGGAAGGTGGGAACCGACAACCCCGGTCTGGGAGGCGGCCCCGTGTGTCTCTCTTGCGGAACAAAGGGCTTCCTCTGTCTTAATCTCTTCATTAGGGTTTCAAAAGCAGATAAAATTATGAGGCATGCAAAGCAATTTCTGAAAGTTAAAACAATTACGATGGTTTCCCATTATTCCTTCTGATGAATGCAGCCCCCTTAAATTCCCCGTGGAGCCGTGCCCCTCTGTGACCTCTGCTTTATTATTCTGCTCAATTGGTCTTAATTATATTAGAAAGGATAATGATAGGCCTTTATAGGAGGAAGGAAGGAGGACAGGGAGATGACGAATGGTGCTGCTAAGAATGCAGAGGGAATGAAGTGGGGGGGGGGCTGGGGCAGCCAAACCAGCAGTGAGACCCCCCCCTCCACGGCACTGGCACACGGAGCTGCCTCTGCGACGGAGCACTGCGGGCGGCCCCGTGAACGGCCAAGAGGGCCAGGCCGCCGCCGCTCCTGCTGCGGGGCTACCCTTGAAGGCTGGGCAGAGGGATCCTGCACTACGAAGCGGCCAGGTCACGACTGGCGCTCGCCAAGACGTGCCACCCGAGCACCCTGCGCTGTGGAGACGCCGAGACGCCACGGCTCTTTCCTCAAGGAAATGCTCCACGACGGACTTGGCCACGGACGTCCTTCGGGAAACCTGTCTGGACGAGTCTCCCACCCTCGGAGCTGGGCTGGGCCGGGCCGGGGCTTCCCAGGGGCCTGGCAGCAACGCTCCGCAGGGACTCGGGCAGGCCTTCCCGGAGACGCCAAGGACGGGGCACCAAGGATTCCTGCAGCTGCGTTGCACGTCCCCGGCCTGCAGGCGCCTCTGCTGTCACGGCTGTGGCGGCCCTCCCCTGGCTTGGCACCGCTCCCTCGGGGGTCTTCCCGAGGCCCCCTGCTGTGCCAACCCGCCTGGATCCGCTTCTGGCCGAAGTTCTGCCGGGGAGGGTGGTGCGGAGCTGCCCACATGAATAACTCCCGTCTCTCCTCCGCCAAGCGAGCGGCCTTCCCGCTTCCCTTCTGTTGCATTATTCACCTCTCAGTTTCCGTCTCAGCTCTCATTTGTCTTCCATCCACACATCCAAGGAGTGACTCATCCCATGTCCTGGTTTACGACAACCTCCATCCCACAAATAATTCACCTTGTTATCCTCAAGGAGACGCCGGCTCGTGATGGCGAAAGTCAGGGCCGCGGCGGCCGCATCGCTGCCAGCGCCGAGGTTCTCGTGCCCTTGCTCGCAATGAGCCAACTCCCTCCCGCCGTGTTCTTCTGGCACGCGCAGGAGCAGCGGAGGGGGCTTATGGAAGGACCCCAGGACAAACGGGGGACTGGCTTCCCCAAGGCCTTCCTTGCAGCTCAGCTGGAGGCGTCCCGGGGGTGGCAGCTTGCGAAAGGGTTTCCATGCTCACGGGGCGGCTGCTGAAATGGAGGATGCTTCCAAGAGAGGACTGTCCTCCAGGACAAGGGGCCGACCTGCACACCCACCAACTCTTGCCGTCCCACAGAAGCCTCTTGGGTTGCTGTTTACTTCAAGGCATGAGAAAAACACCAAATTAGACAGGCAGTAGCTCAGTTTTCCGACAGGGGGATGCCTCTGACCACTGGGGTCCAGGTGAGCCCTCTTCGGAGCGGGTTTTGCCAGGATCCCAGGCTGGTCCGGCGTCCTCTTCTGCAGACACATCCTGGCCTGGGGGTTGCAGCCCGATGCGTCTGCAGGGGCACCGGGGGCAGCACAGAGGCGGTTCCAGGGGGTCGCAGCTGCAGCCTGTTGCAAACCCGCTGCAGACGTGATCGCTGGCCCACCAGCTCCTCACACGCCTTGCCTTCGTTCCTTGCCCGGAGGCCAGAGCGGCTCACGTGCCTCTTCTCACCGCACTGTCCTTGCCACAGCCCTGTAGGCCGACCGGGGGGTGAGTGGCTGCCCACGGCCACCAGGCGTGGCCCGGATCACCCGGGGCCCAGTGCCACTCCTCCGAGCCCACGCAAGCTATGAGTGAGCTCTTGTGTGCGGCCCCGTCCTGGGGTGGGAAAGCTGTGGTTATTTATGGGCGTCTTTCACCCCCAATAGCCCTGATCAGAGAGATGGAAAATGATTCTGACTCCAGCAGTTGTAAAAGGACTGGAAATAGCTGCACCAACGGGTTCGCCTCGGGGGAACGAGCTAATCTCTCCATGAACGCTTGTCATAAAAACAATATTAAATTGTAGCAGCATTTCTGAGGCTTCTGTCGGGCGGCTGCATGCGGCTCTTCCTCGCCTCCTCCCAAGGAATGAAGCCCAAGGGAGTCTGGCCAGGCGTTCAGCTGGGCCCTTGCAGGGAGACGAGGCACGCGGGGGGGGGGGGAGGCACCTGGGGTTGGAGGAGAGGGAGCCCCGTCTCCCTTATTAACTGCTGAGAGAAGCGCTCCATTCTCCGGCAAGTGCTGGCAAAACACCACGGAGCAGCCAGTCCTTCGGTCCCCGTCTTTTCACGCAGCCCATGGCCATGCGAGGCTTTCCATTGCACTAGATCTGTAAGTCTCTCTCTCTCTCTCTCTCTCTCTCTCTCTCTCTCTCTCTCTCTCTCCACACACACGCACGCACGCACGCACACGCACGAGCAAAAGAGAGCGAGCGATCACATCGCATTATGATCATCCTGTGAAAAAGAGAAAGCAAGCCCCGCTCGCTCAGGAGATTTCTGCTCCTAGCACATTTAATCTAAGTCCTCTTCCTGTAATCTATAACATACTGATTAGAACTTGCTGGGGTTTCAAACCTCATTGGTTCCCATGTTTATGCAAATACGCAGTCTGACAGCATTTTCCGAAGTGATGCATAAATAGCCTTGGAGGGCGCGAGAAGAGGCCCAGCTTAGCCGAATGAGCTTGGCATATAAATACATCTGTGGGCTTGCAGTTGGCAGAGCTTCCTCGTCTCGGCCTCGGGGACATTTGAAGAGGAACGCGAATCCTAATTCCGTGTCATTCCTTTCTTTAATTATTTTTTCAGCGAGAAAGGCAGGCCCGCTTGCTCGACGCGCTGCGTAACGCAAGATTAGCCCTTCCGGGGCTGGGGCCGCAAACGGCTGCGCTCGGGTTTTTCTTCGCCGCTTTGATCCTGCAACACCCGCCGGCTTCTGAAGTCCGCAGCCGGGCCGGGGGAGGAGGCCGGCAGCAGCTCTTGCGAGAGGCGCCGAGGGCCCCACGGCCAGTCGTGTGAGCGAGCCCCGAGCCGTGACAGCGGCGGGGGAGGATGGGCTGCGGCAGCCAAGCGCCCGGCCTGATCGCCTGCACAGCATCACGGCCTCGGACACGCTCCTGCTTCGGCTGCTGCAGCGCAAGCCCGGCGTATTCCGGCAGGATCCCCCCGCCCCATCGCCGACCCTACGCGGCCGGGAAGGAAGAGGCAGCGGGCGCCTACCGGGCTGCCGGCAGGCCTGGGACCCCTCCGGGGACGCCCGGTCTACTGCCTTGCGGACCACTAGCTCTGCCACATCCCGGCCGGCAGAGTCCCCACTCCTTTGAAAGGGAGGCGCTTGGGGCCTCGGGCACCCCCCCCCCCCCCACGCAGGGCTGGTGTGCTGCCTTTGGATCATACGCACTCAGGCCCGGTCCAGGCGAGGCCCCCGAGGCCCCTCACGCCGGCAGCTGAACCGGCCTCCCCGCTGGCCCTTCTGGCTTTGCTGTGGAGGGCCCGGCCGGGCTCTTGCGCCATGTCCCCCTGAGGAGGAGGAGGCGGTGGGGGCACAGAAGCCCCCCTGCAAAGTGTGGCTGGCCTGCCTTGCCAAGCCTTCAGCTATTCCGGGAGGCTCAATTTATTACTGGCTTACTATTAAAAATATAAGGTCTCTTGGCTAAGGAGATTGTCTCATCCACTCGATCTAATTTAGCCTGTCGGGATCTGCAATTGGCTCAGCTGCCTTCCTGCACGTCTGATTAGGGGGACGCTCCGCACCGCCCTGGCGGGAGTCCAGAGCAGCCCCTCCCGGGCACCGGAGGGACCGGCCCGAACCGGGCCATGTGGCAGCGAGGGAGGCCGTCAAGGCCTTCTGCCAGCTGCTGGCCTTCCTGCTGGAAAATGCTCCACCGCTTGCAAAGCCCCCCCCCCCCCCGGTGCCCTGCAGTCTAGCAGTCAGTTCCCCTCGGACCGCAGGGGCGTGGACTCAAAGCCCTCTCCGGCCACCTGGTTTGCTGGGCGGCTTCAGCAAACTCTTGGACAAGCCCGCCTTGCAAGGACGTTGTGAAGAAACACTGGGGAGGAGAGGGCAGGGGGCCTGGCGTGTTCCTTGGACGTGCTGGAGCCTCTTTACTAATGGCGAGAGTGAATTACCAGGAGTTGCAGGGAAGACAGAGTTGCCTCGAATCCAGGGTTTTTATGGGCGAGATCGGCGTTTCGGCCGTCCGCGCGACAGGGGGGCCTGCACAGCCCGGCACTTGGCACCCCAAATCCTCTTGAGGGAGCAGATCCCGCCCAGCACGTGGAGCAAACCTTTCGACACCCGCCAGAAGTGGATCTGACGGTCGCAGGTGCTCCTGGGCTGTGCATGGGCCCTTTGTGCCGGCGCAGAAAGACGGCGCGTGTTGCGGCTGCTTGGGGTGGGGGCTGAGCGTCGGTCAACATCCTTCCACCTCCTCTGCCTCTTGCACATGGTTTAGGAGCGCTCTTGGGAAGCAGCTAACGGAAAAGGGATCCGGTGCCAACAATGTCACCCGTTTGCCGCTTTGACCCCAGAAAGCAGCAGCCCCGGCAGAGCAGGTGCCAAGCGGAAAAGAACTTTCCCAATTTCCCGGCACAGGAGCAAGACAACGTTGCTCCGGGGATGTTCCCGCTGGGAGCGGCACCCGCAGCATCACCACCGGCCCCCTCTTGGCCGGGCCGGGCCAGAGCGAGCCAGAGCCGCAGGCGTCCGGTGGCGTCCTCATATTCTGGGGGAGACGGAGGCGAGGCCCCGACCTGGGCGCTTGCACCCCTTCCAACGGCTCCTGCACGGGGCGGACGTGGGCCCCGTGTTTGCTGCTGCACGTTTCACGCCCACTGCTTGCTGAGGCCGATGCAAGTGTGCAAACCAACGGAGCGGAGCCCTCCTATCTTAGACGAGCAACACAACACGAAGGCTGCTGCCAGCCACGTCGCTCCAGCATATCGAGTCTGCCGAGGTCCAAAGGCGCCGCTGCCCACGAAGTGGGCACTGAAGGGCCACCAGCAGGCAGTGGCGGCAGAGCCAGCCTGGCGGGGCGGAGAGACAGGCATCTAGTAAGGCCTGTGTGGTGACGGTTAAGAAAATAATGTCTTCAATCACTGCCGTGTTAACACAATTAAGCATCTTCAAGGTGAGGAAGAAAAGCCCAGCGGTATCAGCGTGCTCAGAGGCTTGTTGGTGGCAGCCGGCCAGGCAGCATCCCCGTGCCTGCAGCCTGAGCAGCCCGGCTCCTGCGGCTGTTGGATTCCGCTGGCAGGCGAGGAGAAAGTCTGAGAGGCGGCCAGGGCTGCAGCCACAGCCGCGAAGGCACTGAAAAGAGGCGCTGCAGCTTCCGAGCCAGCGCGCTCGGGCGGGACACCGCGCGCTTGGGACCACTGGGGTGGCACTCTGCCCCTCCAGCCCTGATCGCACCCCGCTGGCTGCTTGGGCAGGGCGGGCACGAGGGCAGCGCGTGCCTAGAGAAATCCTCTGCTCCGGCCGGGCCAGTGGAAGAGCCGGGCCCCAGTCAGACCTCACCGCCCCTCGCAGCCGCTGGCGAGCTGCAGCTGGTCTCGGGGGGGGGGCAGGGCGTGTGCCACAGGCTTCCCCGGACGACCAGCCTCGCTCCGGACCACATTCCCGGCCGGGCCTCGCCCTCGCTCGCAGAAGCCCTGCGACAGCAGCCTTTGTCCCGGAACTGCGGGAGGGCAGGGACGAGCCCGTGGCCACCCGGGCCCCCGTCCCCTCGCTGGGCTCCAGCCCAGCCAGCCAAAGGCCCCCCGGAACTGGCTCATTGATCCGCAAGCCAAACACCGGCCGGATTCAATTCCGGGAGCGTTTTCCATTTCCCTTCCCGTCTCCCCAGTTATTGACTGAGGAGCGAGCGCCTCTCTGGGCCTCGGCCTCGAGCACTCTGCTTAATAGACTCCGTGGCATTTGCTCTCGCCAGGCGGCCCGCAATGCGCAGCCGAGGGCCGGCAGGCTGGGCAACGAGCCCCGTCCCCGGCCGAGCCGACAGCATGGCGGGGCGCGGTTCCCTCTCGGCTCTTCGGCCACGGCGAGGCCTCTTCTGCGCTGGTCGCTGCAGGCGCCGCGAAGCTTGGGAGCAGCTCTCCCGCGTGGGGGGGGGGGCTCCGTCTCTGCGGGCCGCACTGGGCCCAGCTTCTCCGCCAGCGGGCCGACGCAGCCGCTCTCTCCCCGCAGCTCTGCCATCCGAAGGTGGCTCCTTCCGCGGGGGGGCCGTGAAGTGCCCACGTGGGGAGGGGGGCGGCGAGCGGGGTGGAGCCTCCCTCGCGTGGGGCCCATGGAGGGCCACGTTCCCACCCCCATGGTGGGGCACTGGGGCCCCCTCAGTCCAAGGCTGGGCTCCATTGCGGAGAAGCTGGCGGGGGCCACGTCCAGCTGCGGGAGGGGCCAACCCTGCAGCAGGCAATGGTTGGAAAAAAGCAGACTCGCGTCCCCCAGGAATTAAATACTCATGGCCGGCAGCAGCGGCAGCAGCCAAAGGAGCAGGCCCAGCAAATGAGCGGAAACCAAGGGGCGTCAGCCAGTGCGGGGGGTGAGCACAGGGAAACAGCCGGTCCACCCGTACAAGGAAGCCTCTGCACGGGCCACTCAGGGACCCTCCTGGGGCTGTTGGACCAAAAGGGGCCCTGCGACTCCCAGCCTTCCCCGGGCAGCCATGCTGGCTTGGCTTGTGGGCCTTCTCTCTGCCGGAACATGCCTGGGAAGGTCCATGTCCAGTCCGTCTGAGCACCTCTCCTGTTCTTGGTGCTGAAACACAAGAACTGCAGGCGTGTCTTGTTTTAAAAGCCATTCCTTCCTGTGCGTTGTGGTGTTTTTTGCAGAGTAATAACAACAAACATCACAGTCACCGTCACCGTCATCCTCATCAACAGCCACCGCCTCTCCGTGTTTGGACACAGCCTGTTTTCTCCCGAGTCCATTGTTGATCCTCCAGGCATTTCCACGCCCACTGCCCTCACGGGCTTGCACACACATGTTCAGAACGGCTGCCCACCACGTCTTACTCTCTCTCTCTCTCTCTCTCTCTCTCTCTCTCTCTCTCTCTCTCTCTCACTTCCTGCTTTTCCTAGGCCTTGCAACCCTGTGCAGGCTGCACCCTCGTTTTGCCTGCCCTGCTTCCTTTCCTGATCGCTGGAAAAGAATGGGGAGGAGCCGGCTCATCCCAGAGACATTAACGAGGGGTTCTGGCCAATTCCAGAGCTGGCTGGGTTTCGGGAGCCCGGATGCTGACATGCATTCTGGATGTACTAGCTGCTTTGTTTGAACACCTACTTGACACCGCAGGTCTATTTTCCTGAGCCCATCTAACTTTGCACTCAAAATACTGGACTTCACGCTGGCGTGCAAGGGGGGTGCCCCCACTCTCCGCCCACGCAGTCGCTAGCCGCAGGCCCGCGCGCATGTCGGCTCACATCAGGCCACCATTCTGTGCCGTCGGCAGCTCCAGCTTTCCGGGGCTGCCACCTAAGCTGGCGCTGGCTGGATCACGAGCCCCGTGCCAGCCCGATGCTCTCCAGCACCCCGAAGTCCGCCTCAGATTTGCTCCTGCAGTCCAAACTCTGGGAAACCTTCTGGGCATATTCAGATGCTCCGTCCATCAACTTGAGCAAACAGACCGGAAAGCGAGGGAAGCGGGTCTCCCCCCGGGTGCAGAGGCTGCTCCACGAGGCAGCGGTGTGTGCTTGCTTGGCACTGCTGGAGGCTTCGGAGAGGGAGCGAGCGAGGTGGGACGAGCGTCTCGGAGCCGTCAGCGGTCAGGGGCTGCATCTCCAGCAGGGGAAGAGGAGGCCGGAGTCCAGCCGGCCGGCCTCCCCTCTGTCCAGGGCTGTCCACTTCAGCAAAGACGACGAAGGCCGCACTCCACACCCAGGGGCACCATGTGGTTTCTTGCGGGAGGGGGAAGCTAAAGGTGAAGGGTGGCGATAGGCCATTCCTGTCTGTTCCACAGTGGGCGATCCCGTGAGCAACTCCTGGCACAAGGGCCCATGTGGCGGCCTGGAGAGAAGGCCGGGCAGCTTCGCGGGGAGCCCTGCCCTTTGGGCAGCCCGAGAAAGCATCCCTTAAGGCAGCCGCAGCAGCAAACTTCTCCCAGCCTCGGAGCCAGATGCGGGGGGGAACCGTGCGAAAGCTGGGCAGCTTGGGGGTGGGGGCGGCTTTCCAGAGAACCCAGGAGGGACAGCTGGGGCATTGGCCGAGGTTCAGCAGCGATCCCCGCAATGGTTGGGCCAAGGACCCTCGTCCTGGTGCGGAAACCGTGGTGCTGCTGGCGGCTCTGCAGCCTGGCCAGCACGCAGCGCCACACGCGCCCCCCCCGCCCCCCCAGCCACTTCCTGGGGCAGAAGCCACACCTCAGTGCCAGCACGTCCTCAGAACTGGGTGGGCCTGCTGTCCCGCAAACCTGCCAGGACTTGGGGCGGGTCCACCAGCTGCAGCCAGCCTGCGATGCCGCGGCAGCAGCCCGGGGACAAGCAGCCAGTCCCTTCCCACCATAAGGAACTGGGCAAAACCGGGATGCGAGCGGGACTGGCCCCGCGAATCCCGGCCCACTGACGGCCTGTGCTCCACTTGCAGCCCCGTGAGAAGCAGCGCCCGCTTCCCCCGCGGAACAGTGTCTTCCCCAGCCGGCAAGCAGGTCCCGGGGCCCCGCCATCTGCAGGATGGTCAGCGAGACCCCACGCCTGCTGGAGCAGCCCGTCCTGAGCGAGTGCGGGGACGGAGGGGCTGCACCGCGGCAAATGCCTCCCACTCCAAAACGAGACTCCGCGGCCTCTCCCGCCGAGTGCACACCTTCAACAAGCACCCCGGGACTCAGCTACTAGGGGCGGTGACCCAGAGGGGCCGCAAAGGGCTGGCCCCACGGCACACCCACAGCTGGCTTGCTGCACTGAAGCGAAGTGGGGTTTCTCCGGCGTGGTGGGGAAAAGGCGAGCCCCTCAGAGAATCTGCCCAGGAGATCAGTTCACCCGCGACCGCGACCGACGCTTGCTGCCCACAGCGCCACGTCCATCCGTGAGGCACTGGAGCACATGACAAAAAATCAACACAGCTCAGTCGAGACCACGTCACCCTGCAGAACCCAGTGGCAGAGCTCCTCCTGGACTGCACCACTTCTGAAGGCTTGTGGGGGGGGCGCTCCCCTCCTCACCCCCACCTTCAATAACGCTCCCTGCCTAAAGGAAAAACAGCGTACGGAGACGAGACCTTGCCTCTCCTTCCGACCGCAGGCCCATCCCGCCGGCCGGTCGCATATGTGGGAGGCTCATTTCGAGATGCGGGAGCAGCGAAGGGAGCAAGGACCCTGCCCTGAGCGAGCGAGCCGGAGCTGATCGGCCGGCCAGGAGTGCCGGGCCGAGCAACAGGCTGCGGCAGCACGGTCAATCGAGCATCCGGTTCGCTCTCCGCTCCGCATTTCCTTTTGTGCCTAATTGGCTGAACAACAGGATGGAACGTAGCCGGTTATGCATTATCATTTATTTCTAAGCTGTTATTACTATTATGATTTAATACTAAGTAAACCGTAGCAGCGCAGTTTGTCAGTCAGCGCCCCGAGCAGGCAGGAGACGCCAAGGAGTGCGCCCTGCAAGAGCGGGGCAGATTTAGGACCTCACAGAACTCTTCCTTGAGGGCGAGGGCAAGGAGGGACGCGCCTGATTCCGGCTCCGGCCGCCTGGCAGATGCGGCTCGGCAAGAGGCCCGCTGCACCCGGCACCTGCAGCGGCACAAAGCCGAGAGTGAGCGGGGACTCGGGGTGCCCCCGCAGGCGCTGCACCTGACGTGCAGCACGGGGCCAGAGCCCAGACTGTGCCGGGCCACACGTGTGCGTTCCGGAGGACCCCCGGGAGAAAAGCGGGACCGCCGGGTGTTGCTCCCCTCTTTGGAGGAGCTGCTTCCTCTCAGGCCGAGGCGCCCTCCGGGGAGCCCCCCTCCCGGCAAGGCTACTATGGTGCAATTTTCTGCCCCTGAGATCAGTTTCGTGTGGGCCCAGAGGCCTTCCATCTGTTACTCCCCCCTGTGTCTCCACCATCCTGCTCTCCATCTTTTTCTAACCGCCAGGCACAAGAGCAGCGTGGGGCCTTTCGACTGGTGCGGGGGGGGGGGGGGGAGGCCATCCGCGGGAGCCAGCCAAGGGGCCCCGGAAAGCCCCTCTAGTCCTTGACAAAGCCTGGGAGACACAGCCCGGGGCGGCGGGCGGGCAGGGGGCTGTTCCCACGTTCGTGCTGCTGAGGAGAGCAACCGGGGCCTCCTGAGGGGAGGGGAGCACGTCCTCCCCACGTCCCGCTTCCCGCCCTGGATCCGGGCCTCCCGTCACGGCCGCCTCTGCTGCAATCCCGCCCTGCGCGCACTGCCTCGCACACGCACCGCCCGGGACACGCGGGACCGACCGGCTCACGGGCTCCTCTGCTCATTAAACTTCGAGCGGCCCGCAGCGCGGCGCCCGCCGGCCAAGCGCGCAACGACCCCTCCGAAAGCGCACGGCCGGCAGCGCGCCCCCCGCCCAGCGCCTCGCCCTCGCCCCTCTCGCCGCCGCTCTCGGGTCGCCGAGTGCGCGGCCCCGAGTCCCTCGGCCGCCGCGCTCCAGGGAGAGAGCCGGGAGACCCGGGCGGGTCCGGCCAGCGGATCCCCGCGAGCGCGCCCGGCGACGTCCGCCCACGGCCCCGCGCACCCGCCGGGGGTCCTTCGCGGACACCCCCCTCCTCCGGTGCCAAGCCCCGCGCAGCCCAGCGCGGCGCAGGACGGGCAGGGGCGCGGGGGAAGTTCGGCGCGGGGGCCGAGGGCGGGCGCGGCGCGGCGCGGCGCGGCGCGGGAGCTGTCCGGGGCGGCGGTGCTGAACGCGCGAGGGCGGCTCGCCGGCTCCCCTGCCGCCGGAGGAGCCGCGGACCGCGGAGGCCGCCTGCCAGCCTTCCCGGGGCCGGCGGGGGGCCGGCGACAGGGAGGCCGGGCTGGA